TGAAACCATTATATGGTGAAACCATTATATGGTGAAACCATTATAATGGTTCCATGGTTAATCCCGCCCCATTGTATTAACTTCGATTGACGATTAATTTTTCAATCGCTTTCGAAGTTTTCCGCTGTCGGATTTCTTCCCCACTCTTTCCTTTTCCGCTGCCGGATTTTTCCCCACTCTTTCCTTTTCGGCTGGCGGATTTTCCCTCACTCTTGCTTTTCCGCTGCCGGATTTTTCTCCCACTCTCGGTTCGCCGCTCTCGGACCCAACAGGACCCCCTGAACGACACCCAGCAATATTTTTTCTTATACGCTATTCCCTGTATACCTCGCAGTTTGTGCTACGGTACTGCTTCCCCGTTTTTTAGGGGCTCGGCGCCAAAATTTCGTTCGCCGGCTCTGAGCCGGATTCCGGAGTCGGAAATCGCAATGGGAATAGGCCATATCAGAGACTTGAACGAAAGTAATTCCACATTTAAAGCAGGATTTGTAAGGATGACGCACATTGCCATTAGATTGGCAGCAGACCATGCTTCTCAAACAAATTAGTATACGTACGTTTCACATGCGAAGCCAATGCACTATCAGATGCCGATGTACTTGGTACTGTTTCAGATCCCGTTGATGTACCCGGTAATGAATTCAATATTTCCGACGATGTAGTCGGCATTTCCTCAATATTCAATATTCCACTCGATGTAGTCGGCATCTCCACAGTAGTTGATGTACTCGGGATCTCTTCAACGTTTAATATTTTTGATGTACCGGGTGCCATTTCCAAATCTAGAATAACCCGAGAATTTAAGTTATAATGAACGAGATTATCACAAAATAGATCACGAGGTAAAGGTTCATACTCTCAATCTGTGGCAAATTCTGTGATGGTAGTGTGCTGCATATTAAATACATATTTGAAGATTTGTCTTCCGGCCTGAAGTGTGAATGACAAACACGATAATTTTTGTACACTCGGACCAGATCCAAACTGAATAATTTTTGATTTCCTATTAAATTTAGCCACATCCTAGAACGTTTCTGGTCCTTCCCTGGATTAGGAAATCGATGTCTCGTTGACTCCTTATCACGGCATTCAGGTACACAACAAAGAAAATGAGATGGCATTTTTCTGAAAAATGAAATACAGTATTACTTTAAAATAATATCTTTCATTATAGGATATGACAGGATATGAAATATGCAAAATGATTAAAATGAATGAAATGTGCAAATGATCCATTATTATTATTACCCTGTTAGCAAAATGTACACAGATCGGCATCAGATTGGCAGCAGACAACGGCATAGATCTGTTTCCAAATACGCAGCCATCTGTGTCTGCATGTAAGTTCCATTTTGGAAGTAGATCCTGGTGCCGGAATGTTGAAGCAGATAGTCAGCAGATTGAAAGCAGCGCCAGGTGCCGGAATCTTGAAGCAGATTGGCCGCAGATTGAAAGCAGATCATGCAGTCGATCTGCGGTAACCTTGAGCCATTTAAATCCTGAATAGCTCGTATATATTGGGGCATTTAAATTCAGTTTAG